GCTCCTGCCACAGATTCTCACTCCTCTCTTCTGTGGCTGCAAATGGTGTTACGCAGTTTTCTTTTTCCCTTTCTTAACTCTGTTATCCCAGAGGCGCTGCCGCCATCGTTTATGGATTCAGCCTTGGCCAGGGGCGGGTCTGTCTTGGACCTGACTGGCATTAGCTCTGTCAGACATGGGGGAAACTTCTAGCAGCTTCACAGAAGCCAGTCCTGTAGCCTCCCCACTGCCAAAACCTTGCCACTCAAACTCAGTACAGTTCAACGTCTAATTAGAGCTGCAAATCTCTCTCCTGAGACATCTATGTGAAATATAGAGTGCAGAGCTAGTTTCTGTTAAGAATCAGTTTGCCTCAGTTAGGAAGGTTGAACCCAGGGATTATGATGCCCAAGGATGTTAAGAGTTCATAATACTAATCCTTGTTAGTCCTTGTTTGTCCTGGCAGTCATGTGAGCAACGCAGAAGTCAGCGATCAGAAACCTGAATCTTCAAGCCTTGGTTCAAACCTTCCCATGTCCAGTGAGAGTAAGTATCTTCTGGAGTTCTTTTGCTTCCACCGTCTTTCCTTCCACTGGTCTCGTTACTTTGCTTCATCAAGCACAAGCTTCGTTTCCTCATTGTAATCCTTAGCCTGGCCTCACTAACAGTTGTAAAGTGAAAGTTTCCTGTGGTGCTTACAAAGTGTTAATGCCTGATGGTAAGCAAATATCTCTTTCTAACAAACATTTTTGTGTCACTGCCCCTCAACTTGCTGCTGGGTACTGCTGTCTCTTATCTACCTTATACATGATTTTTCTTGAATGTTGAGTTGATTAATAATAATGCCTATTGCAAAAGATGCTATTTTTATAAATCATTATCTCTACACAGCTGGTTGGGTCTTTTGTAATAGTATGCCATACACTTAATCTTAGACTCTGAACTGTATGGAATGTCTGCAGAAATTCCTCATTAAATAAATGGAGAGGAAACTGAGGCAGAAAATAAAAAGATTGCATAGTAAGTGAGGGGTGGAATGTATCCTTTCTTCTGGCAAAAGATGGCTGGAGGTTATTACAAAAGTAGGATTCCTGTGTAGAATACCTTTTGACTATCCATTCTTACTTATAAGTGTAAATCAGCTTACCTTGATTGAAAATATGTAATGTGTAACTTCCCATTGCTAACTGTTTGCATCTTTAAAATATCAATGTGGTGTGATGTTGCAGTTGCAGGAGTTAACCAGAAGTTTCAGCCTGTAAAATCTGCTGCCTAACTGGATAAGCCAATTACAAATTCCAGAAGTTGCATGCAGTAATATTGTGGGTTTTTTTCCTTTCTGAGACCAATACCTAATTCTTTATACGCTATTTTAAAAATTAGAATTCTAGAAATACCATTACTACATTACTATTTGGATAACTGTTAACATTCTTTTGGAAAAAAAAAAAAAAAGACATTTTTGCAGGAGGGATGTGAGAATATCTCACGAGTGTTGAATGAAAGCCTTTAGGTCTGAAAGTTCCCAGTTTGTGTTTCCTGTTCTATCCTTGTGCTACATGGACTTTACACCATAAGTAAAGTCAAACGCTGGGGACCAGAGGGAGATAATTCATGGAGCATTCAGAAGGGTCAGAGCATGTGGCTGATGGTTTGTATTTCTCAGCTGCTTATGCTCAGATTACACTAAGAGGAGGTTATTTAGGTAGCAGAATGCAAATGTTAGAGCTGGGGTTGCCTGTGGAAACTAACTTGCTTCCTTTAGTGGATGTAACGAATAAGAGAGTTAACTACATGATGATAGAAGAGCATTGTAGGACACTTCCAGATAGGGAAAATCTGACTTGTTAGAGCACATCACTGGAATCTGGAGCAAATCTCAAGACAAAGTATGCTGTTATCTGTGACCATATTTCTTTTTGAAGGCCATTAGTCCAGAAGGGAGAGGGAAAGTGCAGTCCCTTGTAATGTTAGTGATGGAGGAGCCAGGCCCCTGGACCCATGCAGGGTTAGCCTGGATCCCCTCCTAGGTAGGACTGCAAGCTGGGTGATTTGCCTGCTTCCAGACTGGCTTCAGATGAATAAACTGGATCCAGAGCAACACAGCTGCGTTTGCTAAGAATTTGGGTATGGTACTTGTAGGTCCAAACTGCTAAACCCATGTGCTGGGCAGATTTACAGTCTCAAAAGTCATCTAGCTTGGAGATCACTGCAGCATACTGCACTACGGTGCTGGCATGTGCCAGAGAGGCTGCACAGTGCCAAATTCTGTGCCAGGGGTCCTGCACATCCTTGCTTTCCTAGTTTGATGGACAGCTGAGTATTTATCAGGTCAGCTCATCTGAATCCAAGTTGGGGGTTTTTAATGGCTCTTGGGTTAAGACATAGCAACTCAAGTCCTGTTCTCCACCCCAACCCAGAATGCTGTAATTGAGAACTGTCTCATATGGGGTATACTAGAGCCATAGATGGTGCTAGGATTTTGAACATTTTCTCCTTGGATTTGCAGCCTGAGCTACTTTGTCTTTACCAGTTTTAGAATGCAATTGCTGTGGATTTACTCAAGCAGAAAAATGGGAACATCCCATTAAATGTTAACTGCCAGATTTCTTCAGAGGTCATCTGAATTTGGACTCGGAGCCTTGTGCACTGCAGCTCAGCCTGTTGTCACTTGATGTGTGGGATTAAGTTTGTTGAGCTGAGAGCCATTCCTTTTTAAAGGAAAGACAGATTGCTGGAGCCATGCTCTGGGTAGAGTATGTAGAAAAGAGAAGGGGAAGAGGAAAGCTTGCCAAAATAAGCATCTGCTTTGGTCTCTGCTCTGGGACACAGGAAAAAAATGTTAGGCTTGGCACAGATGGAGACCCTTTGGCATATGCAAGGTTTTGGGCAGGACTGAAATAGAAGTTTTATCATGACAATTGCAAAAGATGATGGTACCAGCTGGTAAAGAGAAAGAGCACTGTTACAAAGGGAGAAGTAATATTGACTGAATCATCTACCTGCTGTGAACTGGCAAGAAAAACATTTTTGTGCTGGTTTAACAGTGCATTTTTTGAGAATTTTCTTTGAAACAGATATTAAGGCACTAAAAAACCTGTGTAAATCCTGTGTCTTGGTTAAAATGTACTGTGCATGCTGATATTTAATTGTCATTATTTGATATGTTTTGAAATCACCTATGTAATTATACAAACTATATTTTTTTTCAGTTATGACATGCACTGATTATATCCCAAGGTCATCAAATGATTATACCTCACAAATGTATTCTGCAAAGTAAGTCAAACAATTGTTACTGAATTCTGTAACTCTTACTTCTTTCTGAAGTAATCTTTTTGCATCTTCATGCATTTCTGTAATGCTGTAAATCATACTTTTATATCTGCTGGCAACAGATTCTCATTGCTGCGGACACTGAAGCTGATGGAAGTCACCCTTTGGCTTCAGTGGCTGTTGATTTAGGATCACAAGGATAAATGAGCCCCTTCAAGTAATTAACAAGACAATAGTCTTGTTGAATAATGCCCATAATATTTGAGGAATAAACAAACTGGTCATAAATGACTGTAAGGGGAATACAGGATTTCTCATCATTCACCACATTTGGGGATCTTAATAGTTCTTCCCATTGCAGCACAGTAGACCTTAATCCCCCGAGCTTGGTTTTGTGTAGTCTGTAGTGTGTTCCAGTAGTTTTGACAGATACTACTATATTGTATGAGCTTTAAGATTTGCTGTTGTGAGGCATGGTAAGTGAAACTAATAGCTCCTGCCTGTTGGAATGGGGAGTTTGTTCTTCCCCTCTCACCCTGCCCTCCCTGTCCTGGAATAAACACTGGTGCTCTGGCATCATGAAGGAGAGAGTTTCCCCTGGTGTCGCCACAAGAAACAGGCAGTATGTATAAAACCAAGAGCTGTCGTGTTGGGAAACACAAGTGGGTTATTACACTAAGAGCACATGTCAGTGTGTATTGTTCTTCTAAAGCAATTTTTTAATGTGTCTTCTTGTTTGGAGGCTGAAAGATGCATAATGTAAATAGTTCTTTTTTACTTTTGTTCTTAGGCCATATGCACATATACTTTCTGTACCTGTATCGGAAACAATGAGCCCTTACCCTGGTCAGACTCAGTACCAAGCACTACAGCAGTCTCAGCCCTACACCATCTACCCCCAGACTACCCAAACCTATGGACTACCTCCTTTTGGTAAGAAGTAACTTTTCAAAGACTTCTCAGTGCCTGCAATTATTGTCTTATGTCTCATTAAAAAGCCAATGTTAAGCTTAACCTGGTGTGTTGGAGAGAAGTTTGTAGGAGAACACATACCCAACTTAAATTGTAGATTGGTACTGATCTCTAGATGGGACTTCATATTATAAAATATCATTTCTTACAAAGCTGTTTTCCTGGCTATTAATTTGGATGTCGCCCCGTGAAACTTGCCAGTTGGTTCTTAGTTTGGGATCATAATTTTCCCCAATTGTGGTATAGCTGTGTTTGTGCAGTTTCCTTGTCAGTGAAATCACAAAAGACCCCATACTACAGCATCTCTGCTGAAGGTGTTTTTCCTTTCCTTTTTGCTGGCTAAGATTAAGACTTTTTTGTTATTTCAGCTTTCACCAAATGTAGATTTCATGCTAAAACATCTCCAAGTGTACTAGCCAATTAAGTTTGCTTAAGTTGCTCTAATACTTGAGCTTTTTATTAGCCATTCCAGTTTTTGCAAATGCTTGAAGGGTAGGAGTCCTGTTGTAACTGAGCAGCTAAAGCTCGATGATGGGGTTTGAACTATTCACTCTGTGCTGCCTTTATAGTGCATGGAGGGAGAGACACACCTCTGAGGTATTGGTCTGTTTTAGAAGATAATGGCCATCTTTCTCCATGATGTATAAAGGAAGTTGAGGATGAGTAGTGCAGGCAGAAAAAATCCAGCTTCTGGGTGGGTTAACTAGTGAAAGCAGCTGCCTGGTCTTTCCTTGTACTCAGTGTATTAAAATGTCAGGCACTGGGGAAAAAACCCATATGATTGACTATCTCCCTGCATGTATGAAGTTTTATAACTGATTATTAAAAGTTAACATTTTAACTTCTCTTTTAATTTTTAATGTTGCCCTGCTTGGTTTCATATGTAAATATTGTATAAAGTTGCCAGCTCTCAAAAATGTATGGTGGCAGAGGCTGTTTTGCCCCTTAGCATGTAGCTCTAACGAGAGAAGAGAGCATCACCCTTCCATGCAGGTAACCAGGGAGAGCACCACGTGTACTGTCAGAGAGCTGCGCCGCTGTGAGATAGCTGTGAAGGGTCTGTCATGCTGCATAACTAAATGAACAGAGATTTCTGTAGTGCTGAATTTATCTGTAGTGTTAAAATTTTAGTATCCTGAAGTGTAAAAGGATGAATTTTTCCTTAGCTGAAGGACTAAATGTCTTTGAATAAAACCAGCAACATTTATGGCCTTTGTTAGCAGCTGGCAGAGCAGGGACTTTTATATAAATTACAAAACACTTGATTTGTCATGGTGTAGAAAAGATAATACAACTGGGCTCAGTTTTATTAGACATAAGTTACATTACTAATACTGTTTAAAGCAATATGGCACAAATTTTTATCTTTATGCGAAAGGTCAATATGTAAAATGAATCTGCATACCTTTTTTTTTTTTTTTTTCATATGTATACACCTGGGATTCATGAAAAGGGAGTTTTCTTGTGGTTGAGGGATCCTTAGGAAGAAAATGATGGTTTTGTTCTAACTGGAATGCAAAGGTTTGATCAAACAGGATCTCCCAAATCTCACTTGCCCTGTATTAATGCTGAGAACATTGTTCTGACTGATCACTGGAACACCATGAAGTGGGAGCTTTGCAGGGTCTAAGTGTTGGGCTGTTTTATTAGCAACTCAAGGCTCTTTAGGAGAATAGGGTCATTTGGGTGGCTGTTTGTATTTGCTGCTTCTGCATTTCTAGCTCAGCCCCTGCCGGTAAGGTTCAAGTATGACTGCCATTTCAGAGATTTTTCAAAAGAACCAACCCTCCCCACCACCTGTTATGACAGTGGTCTCAGGATTTCCAGTGGGCGAGGACCTAGTTGACTCCGTGCTATGTGTCCTGGCGAGCCGAAGGTCTCTGACTGTTGTGTTTTCTGAGCTCACTTCATTCCTCCAGGAGAGCTTTTCCTTGGAAAACAGAACCAGTCTGGTGCTCTGTCCATACTCAAGTATTCGGTTGCCAGTGCAGTTTGTCTGCTGTCTTTCTAAACACTCTGTTCCTTGTCCTTTTGTCTAGTTGTAGTGTTGGGTGTTGTCATGGTGGTCTGTTACCTACAAACCGTGCCTGACGCCATGTTACAGTTGCTGGAATGTACTTCTCTTCCCTGGGTGCCTGCATTTTGGTTTCAGTGCCTTGTTGCACTGGTTTTTGCTATATCTGAACAGTGGCTGGTGGTTTCCTTTACTTCTTTTATTTGGTGTTTATTGGTAGTTTGAGGACCGTGCACTGAGGTTGCTTTGTATGTTCTTAGGTATTTTACTGTGTCATGTGTTCTGTTTTGTTTGGTTTTTTTTAAAGGCAAATATGTGTAAATATGTGGAATGCTCCCTTGAAGTGTTAGGCCAAGATGTTTAAAAAGGTGTTTTAGGCTTACTTCTTAAATTTTTGCGGGGAGGGAGCATGTCGGGGTTTTTGTTAGTGTTTTGTGTGGGTGTGATGTTTTGTTGGTGGTAGTGGCTGTATTTGGCCGGGTGGGGGAGTGTTTGGGGTTTTTATCCAAAAGTTCTGGGATTCGGGGGTACTTAGCTGCTTAAGTGTTATATTCTGAATATAACAGTAGAAATTCTTCTGAAGCCCTAGGCAAGAGATCAACATTTTCTGTTGACTTCATAGGAACTTTTGTCTGTTAAACATCTTCTGAAATGTGATCAGTTCCTGAAGTGTCTTGGTATGGATTTTGAGGTCTGCTATTAAATACCTGAATTTTTAGTCTGAACTTAAGTGTTAGGAAGATGTTAAAAGTCATCTTTCCAGTAATGGAAATCGTACTGGAGTGATGCCTGCTTGATCATACTGAGAAGATGGACCTTGCATGGTGTGATGGACAGGTGGAGAGTAGAGAACCGAACATACACGGTGCAGAGGAAATTCTACAAATTGTTTCTGCTTACAAAATCTCCATTGAGCAGGTGAGGACTTGGCCAGTTTGGTCAGATGTTTTATCAGCATCAAAGAGCCTGTTCCAGAGGTTTGCATGATGTTCTGCTGTGTATTTGTTTCTATGCCAAAAAGCAGGCATCCTGGATTATCTAACTGGAACAAAGCAGATGTATTTTAAGTATGAAATTCAAACAAGCTGACAAACACAAGCATAGTCTCGAGATCAGTCAGGTCAGGATGCTGCTTTCAGAGAAGAAATGACCTATGCTCTTGCCAATTTGTCACCTCTCCTTGTGCTGTAATACTTTTTTTATGGTGTTTAGTGCATCGTTCTGCATGGGACGTACTTGTGGTCTGGAGAGATTTTATTAAAGAAGCATTAAAATAAGAGTAGTGACGTATGAGCTGCATATGTGTGGCTGTAAGTTGGTGTTGGAAACACTGTGGATGTGATGGTTTACATTAACTCAAGAAAAACCTACAAGTGGTGGACTATCTTGTGTGGAGCCTTTCCACGTACATAGATGTGTCCTGTGACATTCTTCTGTCCCAGCTGTGGTGCTGCCGTCGGATATGGAGGGGTCTTGGTCCCCCTCGCCTGGCTTTCTCTCTGTCATCCTTGAGGCTGTGCTAGCTTATAAATGCTGTCTTGCAGAACGAGGGGGAAGGACGTGTGCCACCAGGCCAAGAGTGTCCCTTGCTGTATGGAAAGTAGAACATGTCTATAATGAGAGATGACAAAGAGACAGTAGTGGAAAGGAGGGACTGAAGGATGCCTTAACACATGACCTGAGTCAGCTCCTGTCCTCACATCCAACCAACCCTGCGAACACTTCTGACGTGTGTCTGACCTGATGTTACACTCCTTGTGATGGTTATCCTACAGCATTCAGAGTTGGTTTGTGTTTCATTGTCACGGTTATTAGGCACTTCTGTGTGTCCTGTCACCGTCTCATTCTGTTGCTGTCTGTTCCTTGTCCATCTGTCTTGCACTGCAAGGAACTATTGGTTACACCCCTCTAAAAACTAGTCACCTGTTTGAAGATTGTGGCACTCCCTTTGCAGACTTAACAAATACAGCTACTCCCACTCCCCTTAGAGGATCTGTTTCCCGTAGATTTCATTCTGGAGTTTCTGCAACATATTTATAGTCTTTCTTAAATCAGTCTTTCCCTTTTGCTTGCTAATTATCACAGTTCTAGAGGTTTGAAACAGTAATGAAGAGGCAACTTGAAAGTCCAAGAATCAAAATCCTGGTGTGGCTGTAGAGATAAGTGAATGACTTAATTTGACTCATAGGTGACAGTTTGAGATCAGGTATGTAAACAAATCAAAGAACCATTGCAGAATTTAATTCTGACAAAGCTGCAGCGTGGAGCAAGCTCTTGGAGTTGCTGCTCTTGTCCAGTTCTGTAGAGTCTCCCATGTCTTCTGGGTAGGAGACTTAGAGCTCGTAGCTCATGGCTTGTCTTGCTAGAGTGGGTGAAAGGCTGCAGGTGGCTTTCGCAGCCTAGGTACTGGTTTTTTGGGGGTTTAAGAAGGCGAGTGGTCTTTCTGCTGACCCTGAACTTTGTGTCTGGCTCCAAACGTCCTTTGTCCCTCTGCTTTGCACACTCCTGCTTGTTTTTAAGTAGATCCTCTCAACTGATTCCTGCTTGCTAACCCAGGCCAATGAGAAATGCCTTCGACTTTGGCTGTAGGTCTGGAAATACTTAAACAAAAGCCTGAAGAGCCCAGAAGAACCAGACCTGAGCTGAGCTACATCAGTTGGATGCTGTTTTCACCCCATCAGTGCAGTAGACTAGATCTTAACACGGCATCTGAGCTGGAACCACACTGCTTATGTGTGCCTTGTATAGATGAATTACAGTCACTTTGCTGTCTCTGTGCTTTACCCAGTGTTGTTACAAATGCTTTCTAGAATGGCAGGACATCTAGAAGAAACATTCAGATTTTTTTTTCCCTTTTTTTGAGCTCTATATTTGCTGTTGTCAGTCTATGAAAACTACTGACTTGTGGCTTGTTTTAAAATACTCAACCCAAAGCCCAGTGAAGTAGTGGAAGCATTGACTTTGACCAAGTTCAGCCTCGCTATGTAATAGTTGAGGTCATTTGCAGTGCTGTGCAACTCAGCTCAAACATCAGAGGGATTAGCAGTTCCTTTTTACCGACGTGGCAGTGAATCTTACTGTGACACTAACAGATTTTTAGTTGAAAGCTTTGGAAATTGGTCTTGTTGGTTCTTTTGATTTTCTCTTTTTCAGCCAGTTTTGTCAGCAGTTCTAATCCATGCACAGCCTTGGTGACAGTCAGCGCTTACAGAAATTAAACATTTTCCATGTGTGATTTATTATTTGCTTTTGTGACGAGCAGAAATCTTAATCTAAGGTAGCAGCATGCTGTTTGGTCCCAGCATATTTGTTTGTAACTGGTCCAATTTATCTGATTCAGGTGCACTGTGGCCAGGTATGAAACCTGAAAGTGGTTTAATTCAGACTCCATCTACAAGTCAGCACAGTGTTCTTACCTGCACTACAGGGTTAACCACAAGCCAGCCCAGCCCAGCACAATTTTCTTATTCCATTGAAGGTAACTTGGCATGGTTTTTATCTGCATCTCTCTCCACCTAATTGAGTCCAGATACCACAAGTAGAGAGACTTGCACGTTTGTTCTTGGTTTGTGCATGCTTCTTTATGCTTTGCCTCTTTTCTCTTTGTGCGTGCGTATGTGTTTGGGTTTGTATTTGCTACATACCTCTGTATGCACCAGGCTGGCTTGTTGGTGCCATGCTGATGGACTTAACAGGGTGAAGAGCAAATGGGAAGGGGAGAAGAGACTAAATGTTGTACTCTTGCATGCCTTTACTAGGAATGCTCTTGCAGCTCAAGCTCTTTGTTGGTGGTCTTTAGCTTGATGTCAGGAAATATGCTGACTGACATTGAATTTTTTTAAAAATTTGTTAATTACATCTGGAGTTAGATGGCTCTTATATTTCACACACACACTCCTCCCAGGTTGGTAGATATGCTAGAAAGTTAATTTCTCGGTATAGAACTAGCCTACAAATATTCCAGCTGCTGGAAGTGCCACATCTAAGAAGCCAGGTGCTGAATTTCACCAGCTTCCAAAGCAATTTTTAGGAGTAAATGTGCCAGTTCGTTGAGTAATGGAACATTGTTGCTTATGACAAATACATGCAAATGGATAGTTGTTTTTTTTTCAGGCAGGATTTTCGCCATTTATGTTTGAATGATGAATTGTGAAAATTTGTCTCTTTCTCTGTAGTTTTTAAAAAGCATTTCAGGAATTCTTTATGTCTTGTGTGATATTTTCATAAAATAATTCAGGGAGTTCTTCAGGAGATCTTTAGTTCAGCCTCCTGCTCAAAGAAGAGTTGACACTGAATTCGGAACCAGTATACTCAGGGATTTATCTAATTGGGTCTCAAAAACCTCCGAGGATGGAGATTTTGCCAATTCCAGTGCCTGACCGTCATCGTGGTGAAACTTTTTTTCTTTCGTCAACTTGGAGCATCCTCTCTTTCACATTGTGACCGTTTCTTTCCTTCTGCTGTGCACCTACAAAAATGCCTGGCTCTCTCTTCTTGATAACATCCCTGTAGGTACCAGCAGGCTGCTGCTGGGTCTCCTGAAGCCATCGCTTCTCCAGGCTGGACAGTCCCATTCCTCCCAGCTGCCCCTAGCAGGGCACATGCTCCAGCTCCCTGACTATTTTGGTGGCTCTTTGCCAGACCCACTGAATTTTATCAACCTGTTTCTTGTGCTTGAGGCCCCATACTGAATGCTGTATCCAGATGTGGTCTAATGAGTGCCAAGTAAAGGGGAATAGCTCTTAAAATTACCAATAAGTGGATTTTAGCATATCTTTCACTGATAGGAAGGCCATGCGGTATGTACTTGCTCACCTTGCGTCATTGTGACAATAAATGGCCCAGCGTAATGTTTATCCTTAATTTATTTTTCACGTCCATAACATGAGCAATACAACACTGGGAATACTACCTTCCTTCAAACATTACTCTCTTCCAGGTACTCTGACCAGCAGAATGAATTATAGTGTTTTATAGTACCAGCTTTAATTGACAAGGATCAGAAATGGTTCTGCATAACGTAACCCCTGGCAAGTTTGCCAGTGGTGTATCATGGCAAATGTGTGAATCCTTGGGGACTGGTGAGGTGACAGAGCCACCGTCAGACCTCGCTTTACAGAAGGATTTTAAACCATTTGATCCACGGTGCTGTGAGAATGTGTGATTTGAGCAGAGTTTCCCTGCAGACTTCTCTTTGAAAGCATGAAAAAGTCACCTGAATTGTGTAAATGCCATTGCTTTTTTGAAAAACTTTTTCCAAACTGCAGGAAACTCTTCCTTTTCCGGATTCGCTACGTTTCCTTTTCATCAAATTAGCAAGCAGCCCGCTGAGGTGTCAGGTTGGTACTTGGGCTGGTGCAAGGGACGTGGTGGAGAGCAGGAGCTGGAAGGATCAACAAAGTTGCTTTATTATTAGTCTCTTGAAAATCTGTCTTGTCCTCCAATCAAAATAGTAGGATGATACACAGTTGTACGATGTTGCTGTCCCACTGGAGGTGTATTTCAGTGCACGGATATGGTTTAGTCTGCAGATGCTGGACTGAAGTAATGCGATATTTGAACCCTGGTAAACGGTCAGATGTACAGAGAATTTTGCTTTTTGTATTTACCCAAGCTATGGCCATGGTAGTATGTCGCAGAGGTGCTTGGAAGCACTGGGAGCACCATGGGAAGAATGGCTGCTTCTTGGTTTGCCTCTTTCTTCCCTGTGAGAGCAAAGCGGCCAAGTGAAACATAAAATGCATGAATTACAATTTCCCTTCGCAGCACATGAAGCAGGTTGAAACATCTTTGAAAACGACTGAAGCAGAACCAAATGGGATGAATAAGGCTGAGGAGGTAGGGATGTAAGGTCTGAGGATGAGATCTGAAAGTGAGGGAGAAAAAGAGAGAAGAGAAAAAGAGTCACGGCAGCTTCAAGGCAATACTTGTGTTTGCTGGCCTTTTAAACCTGAAAGCATGAAGTAGTCCCTTTTGGCACATTCGTGCCAACTATTTTTGCATGTTTTAGGCTCATTCACAGGTAGAAGGAAGTGATCCACAGTGCAGAAAAAACTGGTTAATCTGTGTAGTGGGAGCTATTTGTAAAGATCTGGTGTGTAACACTGTATAGATGAAGGGTAATTAAATAAGAAATGTTGGAAGGAGACCAGAGTTAAGATAAACAATGAAGTTCATGTGAGGGAATCTGTGTTTTTACCAGAATCCTAGCACTTGGAGTCTTTTTCTATGATTTCTTCACTTCTATTGTCTATCTCAGTGGAGAAGCAGCCTTTTCAGAGAACTACAGATGAGAATCGCTTTCTGTTTGCTCTCCATGATAATCTTGAAAGAGGTGGTAGAATAATCTGCCTTCTAGATAGTTCATCTCCTCTGGCTTCATGGCAGGTTTGTTCTGTGTTAGTGAGCATCTTTTCTGGAGAGCTGCTCTTCTCAGTGCCTTAGGAAGTTACATTTTCTTAAGGTAATAACAGCCTTGATCATTTCCATGACCTGTATAGTTGGAAGGAGTTTTATTTGGAAGCTAACCCCTGTTCTCTAGCAGTTGCTTATGAGAAGTATCTGTGACAGGTACCTCACTCTTGCAGCTATGCTTCTAGTAGCTGCATAGCTACTGTAGGTACTTGAGTATCTTCATTACCATTATTGATGTTCAGTACAGCCTTTTTTCCTTTCTCAAATGTTCTCCCCCCAAAATTCTATCCCATCTGTTTTTGAACACTGCTGCTCCTATCTATGAGGGGATTCCCAGGGGCTAATTACTTACCTTCATTTCTGCTTCCGCAGAGATGCCACCCTTCACAATTGTCACCAGCTGCAAATACTGTGTATTTCTGCACCTCTTTTAAGATATATTTCTTTTGTTTTTCATCTTTTTTGAGGCATATTTTGGATCCATTTCTCTTTCCAGCAGCTATTTGCCAGGTAGTTATGCTTCCCATAACACAACATATATTGATTCATGATGGGGTCTGTTTCCCTGGGGTAGAAAGACTGAAGCCTTCAGAAGCTTGAGTTCTTCAATCTTGGGGTGAATTCCACATGGCTATTATTTGCAGAAAGTGAGGGCTTTTCTCAGAGTGATGGTAAAATAGACGATACTGTGGATTTCTGCAAGTCTTTTCGTAAGTATCTAACAGTGATTTTTTGTTTTATTTGTGTGCAGAGAAAGAAGGTTTAGCAAAAGAAAGTATTTCTTGGTGGCACCTGGTTCAGTACATCCTGATTTTGTTCATGCTGATTTCATTATTTGTTTTCACTAATCCTTGAGGGTCCCAAAACCTGAAGTGAAAGTAATGTTTAATGGAGTGGCCCTGTGGCTGTAAAACCACAAAATCTGCTAAATGACTTGTGTTCCCAGATGGTGCTCTAGCAGGCTCTTCTGTGATTTGGAAGAACTGAATACAGTGACATGGAGGCTATTAAACATCTTAAAATTCATATTAACAATTACATGTCTCTAATAATTTGTCCTACAAGCTGTTGACAAATTATTTCAGAAAGTCTTATCCAAAAACCAGTTGCGGTCTCACAGGGATATGGGGAGATATGTTTGCTTTCTCCAGTAGGAAGCACTGTTGTTATACTATTTGAAATATTTTTACTGTTTCCTTAAATTTTTTGGTCTAATTAGACTAAATATGCTAAATCCAATGCAGAGAGAATTTTTTATCAGAACTGATTTAAACACATTCATATGCATTTTACTGATTTATTCTGATTAATTTTCAACTGCTACTAATTGAACATCAGAATGTGATTGTTGTTTTCTCAGAACTTTTAGTAAAGATGTGAAACCATTTTAATTATACTCCATTTGCTTAGCAGGTATGGAGGGAAAAGGTTTCTGAAACATTTGAAAGTACTGTTTTTAAAGACATGCTAGCTTTCCTTCCCTGTAAGCCCAGTTGAAATGTAACTGGTTTCAAAATACGCCCCAACTCTTTTTTGGCTCTTAGAAGCAGAGTGCTGCTGGAAGCACAAATGCCTACACATAGCCTAGTAAGTACTTACTTCACAACTTGGATTCATCTCGTCTCTTTTGCTTTTCTAGAAGCATTTAATGCAGTAATTCTTAATTTTACAGCATCAACTACCAATGCCAGTCCAGTCTCTACATCCTCAACTGTTGTCAATATTTCCACATCAGCAGTAGCCAGCATCTCACAGGTAAAACTTCTTCCTTGTTATATTTATATGCAGCATCTCCCTCACCTTTGTTTAATATGTTACTCAAAACTAACAAAGGAAGGCCAAATATTTGTGTCACTTCAAATGGAACACAATGGGTACTAGAGTTATAGGGCTCAGTATGTAACTCAAAGTCAGCAAAATTACTCTTGTGGTCTCTTTGACCATGACAGTTTTCCCTTTGGCTTTCGCGACAAAGTCACTTCATCTGTTCAAAGCTGTTTCCTTGTCTGCAGATTTTGTGATGAATCTTAAACAGGGTACTGAGATCTCTGCAAGAGACAGTGGAGAAGAAACAATAGAACTATTTTAAGAACGAAACCTACAGGGAGGATTATAGGTGGATGGTTTTTTAATGGCTTTGTTCTCCATCAGCAAGAAAAGGAAAGTAGCTTGGACATGAACAGGACAAACAAAGAAACCTCAATAAAGTAGGAGATGCATTCTGATAGTGCTAGAATAAAAAAAAGTCGAAAAGCCCTGCAGCTAGCATAGAGCTCTTCCCCCTGACTGTGACCTGCTGTGGGTAATGCATAGCACTGTCAGTGGTTAACTGCCATTCTGAATATTTAGATAGACAAAGGAATCCTTCAATGTCACACCTTTGTGGAAAGAGAATATAGGAAATGTGGAAAATGTGATGGCTGCACAAAAATCCTTGTACGCTTATGCTGCTGTTTTTTAAGGTTCTTTCATTAACATAAATTTACTTGGAGCTCTAAGGGGAAAGAAGGATTTTCTTTCAGACCAAGGTACCTGGTTCACAAATCCAAGTTGCTCTTTGAGGGAATCAGGAGCACACAGAAAAGTGTGATGTGACATTTGGGTTGGCTGCTTGCTTTACTGTCAGTAGCAGAAATTAAAATCCTGAAGCACAGCTTCAGGTGCTCAGTGATCTTCTCCTAAATGAGTAAATAGTCTTCATAAATGGATACCTTTTATCACAGCTGTCCTGGTTTCAGCTGGGATAGAGTTAATTTTCTGCTTAGTAGCCAGTACAGTGTGCTTTGAATTTATTGTGAGAATAATGTGGATAACACGCTGCTGTTTTAGTTGTTGCTAAGTAGCGCTTATCCTAAGTTAAGGATTTTTCAGTTTCCCATGCTCTGCCAGCGAGGAGGTGCACAAGAAGTTGGGAGGGAGCACAGCCAGGACAGCTGACCCAAACTAGCCAAAAGGATATTCCATACCATAGAACATCATGCCCAATATATAAACTGGGGGGAGTTGGCCGGTAGGTGCCAGTCACTGCTTGGGGATGGGCTGGGCATTGGTCAGCAGGTGATTCTGCATCACAAAATCTTTTGTTTTATTCCTTTTCATCATCATCATCATTATTATTATTTATATTTTTTTATTATTGTTGTTGTTAGCATTATATTTTAGTTTACTTTAGTTACTAAACTGTTCTTACCTCAACCCACGAGTTTACTTTTTTTTCCAGTTCTCCTCATCTCACTGGGAGTAGGGAGGAGTGAGCGAGCGACTGCATGGTGCTTAGTTGCTGGCTGGGGTTAAACTATGACAACAGCATGCAAAATAATTGCTTGCTGAAGCCAGGACATGAGTAAAGGCAGTTTATCTTGTAGCTCTTGTGGCTGGGATTGCACCCTCAGCCAGTGCCAAGGCTGCTTTCTGTTGCTGTCAGTACATCTGGTATCAGAAAGTCAAATGCAAGACAAAAGCACAAATTCCAGAGCACAGACAGAGCAGACTGGTGCCTTGGCATCCACTTGATACTCCCTTTTTACTGTCACATCATTCATAATGTATTAATTTTTGAAGAAACTGGAGGCAGAGGAGTGGCCCTGTGATTGCTGCCCTCCCATCCACAGAACCTGGCTGTGCACAGGCCCATTGGGAAGTCAGATCTCTCAACCTTTTTGGGGGATGTGTTATAAAAGAAGAAAGAAATAGCATAAAGTCAGGCTGTGCTCCTGCTGGGATATCTCTTTGACAGATATATCCTAGCATAAAAGTCATCTTAATATAGAGTGTTTTCTGAAAGAAGTGTCCTATCATAACTAATCCTTTCCTCTAACAGGAATACCCTACGTACACGATCCTTGGGCAAAGTCAGTACCAGACGTGTTACCCAAGTTCTGGCTTTGGAGTTGTAACACCAGCAGACAGCAACACAGAGAGTACTGCATTAGCAACAACTACGTATCCAACCGAGAAACCAAATGCCATGGTACCTACGCGGACAGTACAGAGACATTCCTCCGGTAATGGTTGCATCTTTAACAGGGTGGCTGCAAAATGCCTATGATAAACAGTACAGTGTGCAGACAAGGGGAAAACTTTTTTCCAAAAGGTAATTGCAGTACTTTTGCATGCTGGCCTGGACAGGACATTTACCTTCCATTGTCAGACTGGTCTTACTGGTGTGCAGAGTGTTATGATGAGCCAGCCAAACTTATGTATTGGAAGTCTTACACTGCGGCAATTCAGGAGACACCTACCCAATACCTTAGGGAGAGGGAATTCCAGGGGTGACTTGAAGAGTTGCCAACAGCAACCATTGATTCTGTCATATGTCGGGGCTGGGTGTTCACTTGGGCTACAGGGCAGTTGATGATATCCAGTCTCAATAGCTCCTGCTA